GGGCGGGGCGGCGGCGGCCATTTTGGTGGAAATGGAAATGGGAGGTTCTAGAGAAATGGGGAACGATCGGAGAAAAGAGAAGGTTTGGGCTTGGGGGGTAGGGGTGTGGAGTGTGGTTTACGTGGGGTGGGAGTCTTATTTTTTAGGTTTTATGGTTTTTTAAGGGGACTTTATGGGCATTTTATGGGAGAGGGAGGGTGATTTTGTCAAGAAAACTTATGCGGGATTTTCCCTTTGAAGTTATTTTGCACAGGGAAAAATAGGCCACGTTCTGCTTCAAGTTCGGCCCATCCGGTAACTAGCAAGTATTTGTCTGATAACGCACGAAAATCACTTAAAAAATAATTTAATGATTTTAACTTGATTTTTTACGATCTTTACTCCTTTTTTTAATTGAAACTATTTAAAGAAGATTAAAGAAAATGCTTTTAAAAAAATACTAAAACTGCAACGATTAATAAACAGCATGTATGTGGATTAACCTATTGTTATTACACCATGGATGATGTGCCTAAAACGTAAAAACAGAGCAAATGAAACTTGGTTTTTAGTGCATGAGAACAGGAAACATGTCCAATAACATTTGAGTGAATCGAATATGATCCTGAAAATCAGTTTAAAAAAACAGACATTATGCATTGTACATGGTCCTGGTAACCTTAATTTTGATCCAGGAATTTGTAGAGGCCTGGTGTGTGTGCTAGGCCAGCACCAATATCAATGTGAATACCTTTGTCAAGCATGAGAAACTAGCTGCTTGTGATGATATCAACGCTCAATAAAACAAGTCAGAACAAGTGAACAGTCACATTCATGAATACAAACCAGGAAATGTCATGGGAGAAAAGGAGATTAAGATTTGTTTATTAGTTCCATGATTACACGGCTTCTAGGAAACCTACCAATAGACCAACCAGAGAGGCCGCAACATGTTGCGTAGCTTGACATCTCTAAAAGAGTTTCCTCTAAAGCTAATTATGCATGCACGTTGCCCTTGTGGTCATCAGTCCTATTCAAAAGAAATAGGTATCGAAAGATCGAGATGCATGGGATTAGGAACAGGAAAAGGGTTTTCAACTATCACTGAATTCAAATAATTGAAGAATGCATGCCCCCGCTACAAAGGGATGAGTCTAACCCTAACCTACAACATTCAAGCTTTTATACGACTTTGCAGGCCGCTTTGGCCTCAATTCAATCTCATTTCCATATGGTACAGAGCCAGCCTGATTACAAAACAAATCTTCAGTCAGGTGTGTTCAAATAGTGTCCTGTTTTCCTCCTATGCCGACTAAAGTCCGATACAAACCTGAAAGAAAGGCCACAGCCATCGACCTTGCACTGGTATGGCTTCTCACCAGTGTGCACCCGTATATGCTCAATCCTAGCCCATGCCCACTTGAATGACATGGTGCAACCCTTCCATGGACACTTGAGGGGTCTATCATCTTCATGAACACGTTGATGAACTATTGCATATTTGTGGGAGCTAAACTTCTTACCACAACCATCATATGTGCATCGGTTGCCCTTGTGCAACTGTAACTCTGCTTTTGTCTCAAAACTCATGCAGCAACCTTCTAGTTCACACTTGTAAGATCTTTGTGTGATTTCTTTCCTTTTTGAGCGAGGAACTGAAACATTAGAAGGTTTCTTTAACCTCTTTGGTATTGGATTCTCCTCAGCTGATTTCCCAACATCTTTCCCAGCCCTCGGTCTCAATCCTTCGCATGGACTCCTAATAAAGTCATTGCTATCGAACTTGTTTTCTGTTAGCTGCTCCACTTCACCCTTTCTTTTTCTTCCCTTTCCAGCAGTTGGTCTAGAGTCTACAACAGCAGACTCGATGCTCTGAATCTCCTGAGATGCACAAAATTTGTTGCACGTTACCATGCTTTCTCCAACACATGATCTGTCATCAATGCTGGAACATTTTATAACTGGGGAAGGAGTCGGCGGCTGATTTACCAGAATAACACGAGCAGAAACATGTATGTCCTCGTTAATCAAACTTGTGCCCTGGTGTTTTTTCTGCACCTCACTGTCTCTAGTCACCCCATCACTGGAATGAATTCCCTTCTCTACTTCAGGTTCTAAGTCCATGCAAACATAGGAGTCTTGAATAGCAAAAATCTCTTTTGAAGCTTCAGAAAGTTCTTGATTTATGGTTGCAGAAATAGAGGCAAGTTCCTCCACAGTGCGTATGTCTGTAGTTCGAATTTCTTGTGGCACAATGGTGTCCAAAGTTGAGCCACTGCACAAATCATTTTCAGCATAGGCCTGCCTATGAAATTTAGAGAATTCTGATGAAGCAGTAGATGAATTTATTTCCATTTGTGCAACAGAACATGAGACAAGTTCCTTGTTAGAATCATTTGTGGTCTGAAACACCAGCTGCTTGCCATTTTCAAAAGTCATGCCCTTGCTCAAGTTGACCGTGGCATGCAGCTCTCTATGAAATTCAGAACTTTCATCTACAGGCACAAGATTAGTCACACTAATAACATTACTCGGAACGATTTCATCATTACTCCCATTTTTTATTTCAGCTTCTTTCTGCGTCTTATTTTGCACAGCACAGGTCTCTTGCTCATGACCACATCTTTCATCCAGTGAGGCAGTAGGCTGATTCATCAATGTGTCATCACTTGAAGAGCATTGGTCACCATTAGTTCTGTTTTTAGTCACAAGTTCTTTTTTCACTTCATCATCCAAAGTCACAGGAGGAGATACCTCATTGTTAATGAAAGAATTCTCCACAACTACATCCGCCTTTAGTCCGATGGGGAGGAGAGAAACATGTAAACTTGCTACGTTAGCAAGATCAGAAACCTCGTCTACTGCAGCATTGCCATCATCCAGGACCCTCTGTTGCCCTTCAGAAACCATATTACAAGTCTCGCCCATGTTGACATTTCCCAAAACTTGATCCTCTCTCTGCATTTCAAATCTTTCATTAGCTACAGTGATGAATGGCCTACAGCATTTTGTGGTGTAAAAATCCTGTTTTTCACTGGTTCCTCCAGAGGCATTTATCTGATGCTCTATCTCAGAAGTACTACTAGCTTTTACATTACCAATATTTCTCGCATTTTTTGATTCCCTCAGCAGTTGATCCTCAATATGGCCCCCCACACTTTTGACAGCAACAGTAGCAGTGAGAACTGAACATGCATCTTGTGATGGTGCAGAATTCAAGGTCAAGCCACCAGCTGCTTCAAGCACCTTGACTTCATGCAGCGTTTCAGGATCTTCAATGGGAGAAAAACCAAATCCTGCAGAACCACTTCTGGTAATCCCAATATTGCAAGGGTAAATTACAGTTGTTTGTTCAGTATATTTATCAGGATCATCACCACTAGCTCCTGAAACCTCTTCTGCAAAGCACCTTCTAGAGCATCCTTCAAGCCCATTCGTTGAATAATCTATTTTTACCTTGTACTTCCTTCTAGTGTACTGAACAAGTTTTTCCTCTTTTTTGACAATGAGACCATCTGACTTATTCCCTGACATTTCATCTTTGTCTGGTTCAATAATCTTGCATGGTTTACAATGGAAAGGCTGATTTAACTTTATTCTTGACCGAGATCTTCTAGATTGCCATTTGATGTTTAAGAAATCTGTGAGACTTCTGTCAGAGAATAATCCTCCCAATGCCAATGCGTGTTGGACTATCTTAGATGGAGAGTTCTTTCTCATGTTTACACAATACTGTAAGTTGATACCCAGTTTTGATGTCCAGTCTTCTCCACATTCATGATGATCTTCATCATCAATTGCAAGATTTATCAAGTTCAGATCTTCTTTCGATGCAGCTTCTAAAGGAACCTCATTATAATTGAAAGGACTCTCAATTTCCTCAGCAATGGCATAAGCATGTGCTTTTATTTTTTGATAGTCTACATATAAAATTTGCAAAAATAATTATTGACCAATTTGACAAACAGACACCCCATATCAGAGAGAATAAACAGGATAGCACACCATGCAGGTGCATATGTTAAATCTCATTTTACCGAGTAACTACAGGAAAACTGAGAGCCCATCTCACCTGAATGGCAAATTATAAGCAAGTTAGCTCCACCTTTAGACTGTAACAGCTCCTCAATTTGGACACCATGCTCCAGGCAGAAAATACGAGGTCTCAAAAACTTATGAGAAGTGTTCCACCCTGTGGGCATTGGAAGATCCTTCAGAGGCACAGAATAATCTTTGACAGGACCATGATCATCTGCAGAGCCAAGAAAAATGGACGAACTGATTAACTTTAGCACCTGAAGAGGCCCAGCAGAACAAAATGGTAAATTTACTATGATAAGATTTGATGTTTCAATTCACTCTAATGAGGAATCATATGCATCATTTTAGGCCACTGTTATCTTCTATAAACTTGAGATACAGCAGCCATTTAAAAAATCACACAAACTGTATGCATCCCACAAATATTTTACCAAATAGCAATCAAATGTTGGTCACTTGTGCATTTCCATGAATTCTACACAACAAAAGTGAAGGGCAGTATTGAGAATAACCATTTGCACAACATTTCAGTACAGTAGGACATCTCACACAATTAGCTGATTCACAGTCATACCAAGAAATAGGATAGTACCATGGACAGCATATAGAGGAGCTAAAACTACTTACACATGTCTCCTGGTTGAACCTTCATGGTTTAACAGTATATGAAATTGGACAGGTGCATTACATGATTAAAAAACAAAATGCACAAAAAAGGAAAGAATAAATTGACTGCAACTAGATGTGCCAGGATAAACCACACAGCACCATGTTAGAATTCATCTGATACTGCTGAGATTTTCTCCATCTGAAATGCAGGAAGGTGATAGGTGAAGCATATGGAATTTAGAGTTCTAAGTATTGATTCATAAAAATGTAAAAGAACATAGGAATTATATGATTTCCCACAACAATAATGGTGGCATGCTTTGGAAACTGGGTAAATATTCCAAAACGCTCTGAATCATGCAAAGACAATCTTTTGTACAACCTCAACCTAGTGCCTTCCTATATTAATTAAAATTTCCTATACAGGGGAAGATTATGCTCTATACCGGATCAAGCAAGAAGTCATTATCAAATGTGAAAAAGGGAAAAATAACAAGAGTAAGGGAGTAAACAATACAAAAATATAAAGTAAATTAAAGTACATAAATTCAATACCTGAAACAGAGCCTTTGCCGGTGCTATCAGAGTCTATAGAGGGCTGAACATTATCAATTCTTGGAACTCCTGGCTCTTCGCCGGGCATCAATTCTATTGATGCTTTCTCATGTGGTTGCAACACTGACATAAAAGGAAAACCAAGGATTCCACAAGCCACACATGCTAACGACCCCGAATCAACTTGAAAATCACATGACAGATCATCTTCTTCCATATATAAATCATCGAGAGTTTCCATATACAAGCTCATCTCCTTAAACAGGTCATTCTCATTGCAATTCCTATTTACATCGAAATTAATATGGGAAGCATTTTGTTTTGGTGAGGTAGTAATAGTAGAAGTTATGTTGAGTAAGTGAGACTCTTTACTTGCACAAGGAAGCAAATCAGGGTTCCATATCACCGCATGACAAGTGGAGTTTTTCTCAAGAAAAGCAGATAAAATGTCATTTTCTTTTAACATGTCTTCTAGAAAGGCCTCCTTTACTGACAACTCTCTTTCTTCTCTCCGACGATCTCTAAGACGAGAACTCCGAGCACCTGGTAGTAAGGATCTCGGCAACCTGGCATCAAAAGAAATCCACAACAATAATCAATGAAGCATACCAATAATAACTTTATAAATGCAATAAAAAATAGATGATGATCACACAAACTATTCAAACATAAGAATATAAAGTACTACAGAACAGAAAAATATTTGTGTGGTGATGGGGCTCAAAAGCTCCACAGAACCTAGCCAGATATATTTCAAGATTACAAAAGTAGTTCACATGTAACTTTAAAATCATATCAAACGATCAACCAAAAAGCAAGTTGGTTAATCCCTTGAACATCTAGTGAAAAAACAAATGATTTCAAATAGAAATCAAAACATATATATATAAAATTAGTTGAAATGAACCATGCAAACATGAATACAATATGGAACGGATTAGAACAATCCATCACAGATCTCAAAGTTTTCTATTGATCACCATAACAGGACATGCCACAGAAGTAATTTGAAAAACTAGAACATTCATTGTCAATTTTCACCTACAAAGCATTTTATCTATGCTCCATCAGGCCAAAAGCTTTCAACAGAGTGGGCAAACAATTTTCATAGAGAAAGTTTCATAAACTACAACATACAGGACAGCTACAGTCAATAATCAATAGTCCACTCACCTTGAAACAAAAGACATGGTCAACAGGTATAAGAGCTGCTGATGTGAAAGCATGGGAAGATAGTTCATGGCAGCTCTACGGACCGCAGCTTCCTTGGCTACTTTAAGCCATTGTGGAGTTCCAAAATTGGCAGCTTCCCCACAGTTAAAACCTATCAAGATCCACAGTTAAAACAAGGTAAAGCAATATTTCATCCAAGTCAATGAAATAGCATAGTGACTCCGAGAAGCAAGAAAAAAATATGTATTTAATTATGTGCTTCATAAGTTCTGCAAGAAATGCAACAGTAAAGCCTACCGTGGCTGAATCCTACATGGTAGGCCCTCGGAAAAGTCACAACAAATTCACCAGGATACTGCACTAACCTACAGCAAAGACCAGAATCAGATTGATCAGAATTTCAAAGGTTACAGTCAGCATAACCCCCAATTCAAAAATCAAGACCACCTCTAAATCTGACTTTTCATGAAAAAGACCCATCCATATCTGTAAACATCCAGGCCATGAGGGACCAAAGCTACAAGTGAAAATAAAAGGGAAAAATGGAAAATAAAAGACAAAAGGGAAAGAAGAATGACCTACCTACAACAAGGAATGCCTGAGGAAATTATTGATTTAGGAGACAGAAGAGTTGTCTTCTCACCCAACAGAGTCAGGGCAGCTAGCAAAAGAAAGCAGAATTAAGTTACAAAAACACCAATAAGAAAAAATGTCCAACAATTCCAGATTCAATCAGACCATTTAATTAAAACAGAGTTGATACAAGTTGCAAGACTAACAAATATGCCTTTTGAAATAGTTTCGAACTCAAACTAACACAATTTGAGAAAATACAAATAATCCAGCTTTGGATTGTATAAATCTAAAAAACAACAACAATAATAAAAAAAAAAAAGATGCAAAATGCAAACTGATTAATCATGAGAATTCTTTGCAACCTGATTTAGGCCTTGTTTATCATCAATTCTGGTACACATTTAGACAGTTGGCCTTCAACAGGCCTGGCAGGTCCAATTTGGCATGAGCAACTTGAATTGAACTTAAGTTGCACACTCCTTTGTGGGTAAGATTAATTTCCATTGCTAAGAAGTCCAAAACCATGAATTACAGGTCATCATTTGTGTAGCATTAAAATAGGAAATCAGGGAGCACAGTACCCATTGGAGAAGCTACATTGGACCTAGATAACAGTAAGTGGAAATTTGAGAGAATGATGAGCTAACAGATAGGGGAATTTTGTAACAAGGAAATACCTCTGATTGCAAAATAGCAAGACTTAATCATTGACAAGATATATCTCAAACACAACAAAAAGTCCTACAAGTCCATTTCTTAGCTACAGTTTTGGCAATAAAATGGCCAAGCAGAAAGAGAGATCAATAAACAAAAAGCACATGGAGGACCTCTTCATAAGCAAATACATAATCTCGAGGAAGGCATGGCAGAGAAATAGGATCAATCATGCTACAAATATGTCAGAAATTAAAACATACCTAAGCGATCAATATTGCCACCATAAGCCTCAGTGCGTATAACTTCCTCAAAAGAAAATACATAATCTCCAGGGACAGCATACCAAGTCTTTGGAGAACCGGTATGTAGAAAATTCATGCTGTGAAGTTCATGATCCTCAACATGCCAAGCAAACCAACTAAACAACATACCAATGTAGACCATAGGTGAAGTAACACCTGGGATATCATCTGGCATAAATCGTGTAAGAGAGCCAGGTGAGCGCGCAATCACCTGCAGATTCCAAGGGCTATTTGAAAGTTTCCAACCTGCAGTACCTTCCATATTGCTAGTTGAAGTTACACATTTTTGCTTAGAAGACCTCAGATTATCCTCTGCGAATGAAGTCAAAGATGCCATAGATGACCTGGGTGTCGTCTCCAAACACAAGCTTGGCACATTCTTAATGGAAACACCTTTAACCTCATCATTATGGGAATTCTTTACATCATCCATATCATTTGTACTGCAAACAGGGCTTTCTCTACTCCTGCGATAAGACTGATATGATGCCCTCTTCCTCCTCCGTCTAGGAAAGTACCTAGAGTGGCTTTCTGGTTCCCCAAATCCCGAACCAGGCACATCATTTGCATATTCCACGTAGATAGGCTTCTCAGAAGCTGCCTTCCAAAACAATGCCTCTATAACCAATGGATTAACCTCCTTAAGCATACCTAACAAACTCCTTGCAAAAGCCTTAGACTTTGACTCAAACTGTTCCAATGTGTAAGCCTCCCCACTTTGCCACACTTGCTTATGAACACCTGATTGCAGATTCTCCTTAACCATCCCTTTTGCTTTCTTCACACTCTGCCCTAACTCCTGCTGCCTAGTTGTAAACACCGCCCTATTCTCCCCATCATTACCACCATCCCTTAAACCACAGTTTGATGAGGAACAAACATTCGACAAGTCCACATCATCACCCAACTCCGGACACTTAGAAAGCGACCTATTCAAGTTACTAAAAACATATCTTTTCGAAGGCTTAGGCAATGGGGGTATGATCTTACAAATCCCAAAAGCACTAGCTTCCTTCTCAATTCTCGATATATATGCAACTGGGTCTGCAAATTCAGTATCAGTTGGCCTAAACTCGGGTGCCAAAGGCAACCCTTTTAGCCATTTGGGTATTTCCACATTACCCATTTCAACAAATTTTCACATTAACACCGATTACAACAGCACATCAAAATCACCATGACCACACCATATCATGCTCAAGTTTGTAGCTTTCACTGTCATTCAAGCTACAGAGCCCATTTGAAAACCCTAGTCCAAAGATTCTAACTTGGTGAAATCGTTAAATGGGTTTTGTGTTGTGTAGTGATTAAGCTACATTAACTTGGAAAAACAAGCAAAGGTAAGATAAAATGTAAGTTAAAAAAACAGAACCTGGTTAAAAGCAAGCGATTTTCTTCGATTTTGCCCTAAGCAAAACCACCAAACTGGAGAGGAGGAGAAAGAGAGAAGGGAGGAGAAGGGGAGTTGGAGGTTTGTGTAGGTTAAGAGGCATTTTCTCATCCCGGCGCAAGGTAGCATCTTAGCGTGTTGGTGTGTTAACGTGACACGGGGGGACAATGCGCACGGGTGAAGCTCCCGTTTGTTCACTGGACGATTTCAGTCGGGGGGCATTTTTTTAGCGCGAAATAGGGGGGGTGTATTGTGTTCCTCAAAGCGCATTTTAGCAGCAGGCGGTGATAAAATATAGAGAGGGACGTCTGAGGTGCGTAGAGATATGGATACGATTGCGATGCATATGCGATGATCAAGAACAAGAATATAACATGAATTCTTGATTCGACCATGGAGTAACCTTGGATTTTTTTCAAAATTACCGAGTATTAAGTATTACTGTGAAAGGCATGAGTTTTTTAATTATGTAAAGCTCTTCTGCTCATCTTCACAAACATTTCTCTAAATAAATTGTGTAAAATTTTATAATTTTTTAATTTTATTTTTGGGGATTTAGTCTGGTTGAAAAGAAATTAATTTTAATTTTTTATAAAAAAATAGTATTAAAAAAAGAAGGGTTAACAAAAAAACTAAATATGAATGGTATGTCATAAATTTCTTAAAAATACATTTTAGACAATAAACTTTAAAAATCATTTAAATTATATAATTTCAATACCTTAATATTTTTTAATTTAATTTTAATACAAAATTTAATTTTTATTATTTTTCTAACTCCTAGTTGAGAGAAGAGAAAGAGAAATCATTGAATTTTGGTGATAGAAAGAGAAAAATATTGTTAACATTAATTTAAAATACTAAAATAAACAATATTTATATTAGATGGTTTCATTATAAAAAAAATTCATATTATATTTTTTACCTTTAAGATTCATGAGAAAAAAATTAAGCTAAGGTTAAGTTTTGGATTAGGGGTTGATTTTTGATTTTTTGTGTGGTTTTTTAGATTTTTTTAGGTAATAAATAGGTTTATTATAGTTTTTACTGTGTTTTGCGTTAAAAATAGATTGAAAATGAGTTTTCAAGTAAAAATAATTTAAATCCTGACTTTTTGGCCACCATAATAGACAAAATTTAGACAAATCAGATAATAAATTGTTTAATTTTTTTTATAAAAAAGTTTGAGATGGATAACATGTCATATGTTTTAGCTACAAACAGAAAAATTTAAAGACCTAATCACATTGGCCTAAAAAAGAGCTAGATGAACCGGCTTAACTTGTCAAACCCAGTAGTTTTTTATTTTTTTTAAATTAATGATTTTTTTGTGACATTCTCTCTAAATTTTTTTAATTTATATTTAAATTAGTACCTTTTCTTTTTCTTTTTTATTTTGTTTGAAGAGACTCTTTTAAATGACAATTATTTTTTTAGTTATGTATTTAAATTTAAAGAATTTTTCTTATTCATCTATAATCTTTTTTAATCTTTTGTATGGATAAAATTTATTTTTAAAATTAAAAAATATTTTCAAATAATATTTATAATATGTGCAATCTTGCATGATGTTTTTCCACTCCTTTTATTTTATTCAATTAATTTAATTTCTATCTTTATTATTATTATCATTTGCTTAAATAAAAAAATTATTTTAATAAATTTTTTTGGTAAATATGATAAACAAATATTTTCTCTTTTAAAATTATTTTTGGTAAATACGATAAACAAATATTTTCTCTTTTAAAATTAAATATCTTGATCTATAAATGTATCTTGATTTTTCAAATTTTATTTTTAGGTATTATTAATGACTTTTTATTTATTTATTTGTACATATAGTGTTTAGTTTATTTGATTAACTTATATTTTTATAAAAAAATTATAAAAAATAAAGATATCTGACCACGGTGGAGCAAAGATCATATAATATAACTAGTACTAGTGATAAGTTATTGAGCACAACTTAATTGAGTTTTATTATTATTATTATTGTAGAAAATATATATGGAAAATAAATTTAATTTTGAAATATGAAAATTAATTATTAAAATATTATTAGTGGTCATATAAAAAAATGGCTGAAAAGATAGTATTAACGTTTGAATGCCTTTATCATCAAACAATGTTTTTTTTAGTTTCCTAATTTGACAATTATTTTGATTGTAATTTGGTTCTACGATACCATCCAATTATGAAATTACGAAATATTTATACTAAACAATATCGACAATATATGTCAGATGCTCAGACATACAAATTATGTCTATCATTTCATATAAAACAAAAATGCAATAAACCAGGAAGATTCATTTGAATGCTTAATTTCGATGATTCATCAAATTAATGTCTATCATTCCCATGTGTTTCAAGATTCTTACTAGAGGCTGAAGAACTTCTCAAGTTTCATCATTTATCTTGCTGGCTACAACTTGCATTCCCTGACAATTTCTCTTTTCAACTGAGCAATGTAGTAATCCATCAGTAGAACTAGCACATCGAGCAGCACCTCTACCATATAATCTACTGCAATAACTTGTGCAGGCTTTTTTCACAGGCAGGGACCCTCGAATGCGGTGCTTGAAGACACGCTGCCATGCATAACTTGACACATTGTGCAAGTCCTTCGCTCATGTTTGTACATGCCATGACTCTGTCCATAATAAGCTGATCATACAACTCTTTTTTACCTTGCATATGAACAAAACTAGCCCAGAAGAAGGCTATCCAAGAGTCCTATCACCACCTATACGAATGGAGTAAAAAAATCTATCTATTCTAGAGTGCTGCATCAAACTTTATTTTGCAAACTGACATAGACAGCAATTAAACATGGAACGAAAAAAAAAGGTTTAGGCGACAGAAGCAGACTCATCTAGTTGTTCTAATTCTTCCTAAATGCATTACGGCTATCAAAAGTAACAGAGGCTCGAGGAGCTCTGCAATACTCAGGGCATGATGTCTCGCATTGAGGCCGTACTGAGCCTGGTGTGTTTCAATGCTTTGTGGAACGCAGTTATTGACACAAGTTTTCATTGGGTCAACGGCCGCGGATACCATGACAAGCAATGTGAAGATAAGGAAGGTGGCAATGGTTTTTTACATGGCCATTTTCTTTGAGACTTCAGCAAATTTTGAATGGATTAGTGGATTAGCAAATAAGGTGATGTTATTGCCTATATTAGTGGGGAAATGGTACACTTATTAGGGAAAAGAGGTGTTCTTCACAGGTTACTACAAGTGGATTGCAGTAAAACATGTGAAAGTTTGAGGCATGTCTGATCCTTGAAGCCTGAAGGTTTCAATTTTCTATAGAATTAAAGGTCCCTTGACATTTTGGAAAACTGAAATGAGTGGATAAAAGTGAATTTATCAGATACTATGTTGGCGTTATTTCTTACCATTTGAATAAGGCCTCAAGTAATCCTGGAATATTATACCCACCCTGCTTGAGAGAACTGCAGTTACCAGATAATAGCCATCAAAATTATCTAAATGCAGAATCTTGTTATCTTAATCACTGTGTACCTTTCTTATTTCCTCACAAACTCCTCATTCAAACAGAAATATCAGTTGTTTAGTGATTGATTTATGACGCCTGCACATAAATTTTATGGTATTTCTAAGAAGATTTTGTATGTATACCTTCTGTCCCGTGGTACTGCTATTGAGAAAGCAAAGACATTGCAACCCCGTTTACATTCTCTTCGTTGGTGATCCAGCCTCGATGCCAATGCGCTTCGAGACTCTTGGTAGCGACACATGTTCCTTGTAATCCCTGGGCTGCCTGTTGAGAAGTTGCCAGCGGACAAGTGAAACAACCCTGATTTTTCTCTTTTCTTTCCTTAGCTTCTTAGCACTCCCTTCACTTCGGAACCAGTACCGATCAATATGATACCTGGAAATTTTTTACCAAAATTGTCACTTGCAATGTATCCCTCTCTATCAACTTCACTTGCTGATGTTCCTTCTAAGTTTGCTGCTACCTTTTTCCTGACAATGCAATGACAGTAGGTGCATCTCTAGTTGTTACAGAAACTTTGTATGCTCCAGCAGTTTCATTTCCTTCTGCTGGTCTGAAAACTAGAAGCCGTGGCTCTGCTCTAAGTCCAGCAAGCTGTTCGACTGGCTGGTGAGTTAGGCCATCTTCCCTAAGACCAATATAGTCATCATAATATATATTAACTCCTGCATGGATTAAGGCAGAAAGGCGGATTGATTTTTTCATATAGTGTGAGAACATAAGGAAAGTAGATGCAAAAGGGTTTGGACCACTTTTATGCAATGCGATTCCATTTGAAATTGCCGTCATTGCATGCTCTCGCAATCCACAGCGTATGTTGCGACCATAAAAGGTGCTATGCTGAAACTCTCCGGATCCCTGCAGATAGACTTCGTCAGAGGAAGCAAGATCAGCGCTCTCACCAGTGCTGGAAGCACCTTGACTAGCTGGTTCAAGCACTTTTCAGAGATCCTCGAGTAGCATCCACTGGGTCTGATACAGACCACATCTGTTGGGATAAGAGCAATATCCAGTTCGTGATTAATTTCGAGGGTGCTATGTTGTCATTTCTGAACTTAATAAACTCCTTCACAGGTAAGGAAAAAAAATGGAAACAAAGTTAAATGAATCTATTGCATCTAAGCATGTGCATAGACTATAGAGCGTCTTGGATTCTGCAAATTACCGACAAGCGGCTTTCCCAGTTAGGAAGCAGACCACCACTAAGAACAACTTCAAATTCCGCGTGCTCCTCGGGATACTTGCGCTAGTTTTCCTCCATAATCTGTTTGAATTTGCATTTCCCTGCATATTACATCATGATTTTTCTCGGTCGAATTCTGATGTGCAGCTGTAAAAAATGAAGACGCTAAACCAGAGCTAATTTCAGCAACCCAAACCTATAGACCATAGGAATAACATGGAACGGATACCGATTATTCCATTTAACTGTCTCATTTGCTTCACATCCTTCATCAAAGGTTACATGGTGAGCCTTCCATGTCCCTTCCTTTTTAGACAGTCTCCCTTTTCACCCGTGTATTTAGATCATTACAAGGCGTCGATTATGCATAATTGATAGTATTGGTTAAATTATATGGAGGGTAGCTATAAATGGCCTAGCCGATATGCAGTTCGTTCATTTCACATTTGCTTCCCATGCCATGAGCTACTTATGGGCATCTCAGGAAATTATCAAAAACCAGAATATACAGCACAAATGTAAGCAACTTTTGATAATGGCACAAACCCTGATGAAAGCTGGTTTTTCAGTTTCACCGAAAGCAGAGAGAAGGGGATTCTTGAATGGATCCATATCACCATGTGTGTTATCAGCTGTAATTGTAATCCAACCAAGAGCTTTGAATCCAGCAGATGCATCTTCAGAAAATCCCAGGCTAGTCGGTTCATCAATAGTATTATGATCATCATCAGAAATCATCGTGAGTTTGTGGAGCTTCTAATGTGTAGCCAAAGATGCAGCTTCATGCGCTATTCCTTCCATGGCACACCCATCTCCCATTATGCAATATCTGCATCAAGAATTAGTAAACAGCTAAGACAACCTGCCCATCTTGATGTTATTTATGAAAATGAGCTAGCCACATATATATACAAACCTCCGGTGGTGAACTTCATCGCAATCAGGCTTATTGAATCTAGTTCCCAAGTGAGCTTCCGCTAAGGCAAGACCAACCGCGTTAGCCACTCCTTGACAAAGTGGCCCTGTTTACGAATCAGATATGAAGAAAATCAGTATAAATTTCCATGAGTAGATAAGCATATTTACAATGATACTATAGAGTTTGTCCACCGTATCAATGCATAATACAGATTCTATATTCAAACTTCTTTTCATGACTGTTGTGACTTCAATGCTATCTGCACTGTAATTCTCTGGGTGACCTGGGGTGCGACTTCCGAGCTTACACAAGCGCTTCAGGTCTTCTAGCTGAATCAAGCATCGCATCAAAATTAATATAGTTAAAAACCTATAGCTCACATATGCTTGGATATATAAACCAAACTAAAGTTCAAAAGATGCAAAGATCAATAGCCTATTTTGGCAGGGGAAGCTGGGCTGAGAGAGTTGAAAGGAGTCAGGATCCAGGTGTGAAAACTGAAGTGAAATGTCCTAAACTGCTAGTGACGTGGATTGTCCAGAAAATTGACAGTTGGGATAGGACCAAGTGAAGTTTGGGAGAGGTGAGATCATGGAGTTTCATTAGGTACAAGTGGCTTTGGGTACATTGGTTAATCTTGGATAGGCCAGACACAGTTTGAGATTAGAATTTCTTGATCCACACCAGCTTGTCACCCTTGCATAAGGACAATGCTAATTCATTGATCGATCCTGCATCAAGTACTTGAAAAGTACTTGTCTTGGAGACCAAGTTCTCAAATTGCATATCAGTCAGCAAAGAGACACCAAGTAGGTGATTGGACGTGTACAGGTTGTACTGTAAGGCGGGGTAGCTATCAAATCAAAGGATCCATCTCCTTGGCACCAAAGATTGGGAGCAGCAGGGGTCCCATGATATAACAACACAGAAACGTAAACATATGCTTTGCAGGTGGAGTGTCTTGCTAAAAATAACCGTAAAACTTATTTCTTCTCTTTTAGATCTTTTATAGAAGCTCTATGCTTATCAATATGACCCTATTGTTCAAAAGATAATACAAAATAATTGAGCAATGAACTGGAAAACACTGTCTTAAACTACCAGAGTTCTTAGCATCATGTGAGAAAGACTCCCAACCTCCGACCATGCAATATCTCTGCCTCTCTCTCCTTGCAAATTGGGTAGGGAGATGGTGAAATCATTGAGATTATTCAGACCATGTTTTCAAAATCTGTTGACTAGTTGTTTCATCTTTTTGAATGTCGTGTCCTTATAGAACATGTCTTCAAATAGCACCTAACAAAACTATGTATTTAAGCCAAATCCGTGTGCTAAATTCAGGTTTTCTCCACTGGAAAACCAGCATGTGGAATCAGTATCTAATATTTAGTTTGTTTTGAAGGATAACTATACCACACTTGCACTTCCTTGTGAATAATTAAAACTACGCCCCTTCTCTGAAAGAATACTTGATTAGAGCAACACTTTCAAAACTAACTGAATTCTTAATATTTGTTGATAGCTAATAATCAGAATTCAGAGGAATAAGCACAATCTAGCCTAATTTGATTGCCATAAAAAATTACCTTGAAGTTTTTCCAAGTCCTGCAAAAGATCAAGAACTACCAATACCAGATACTTAACTGGCACTTGAACCCCGCTTGAAAGGGAGTTCTGTAATGTTTGCTTCTCATTTTCCTTGTAACCCAGTCCTTCAAATTACTGCATGATCTTAATTTGTTCCGATGGTTTTAGCTTCATTATGTTATATTTTTATATTTCTTGATTAGCTCACAGTCATGATGCTTTTGAAACCATGCAGATATTTACTTCATCAGGATTTGGAGCACACTTGTTTGTCTGAGCTATAGTCAAAAGATAACCACGATGGCCAAAAATAGCCAAAAATGACAACTTGTATTATTATTGATAGCCAAAAATGACAACTTGTATTATTATTATTATGATCGAGCTATCTGCTCTTTTCTCCGCAATATACAGAGCGTGTGGAATGAAAAGAAGATGCATGAACCCAAAAAAAAGATGGAGAATATGTTGTCATTTATACCTGCTTATCAATCAATTAAAATATGCAAAATCAATAAATTTTGGACAATTATAAAAACCACACATCCAGTTCCATGATTTCCCATCCTCTTTCCCACTTAATATCTCTCTTTCTCATAGGACCATGGCGTTAAAGATGATAAAGAAGGGCAGGTTTCTCAAACATTGTTCCTCCAAGTGCATCAACCTGGGAACCAACTGGTTTATGAAGCATGCAACTTGTAACCATTTTCAAGATTGGGAAAGCCGGTCTCTTTTGCCTGAGGACGACTACTGCATTGTACCAAAAGATGTTCCAAAAGGTCATTTAGCAGTCTATGTAGGTGAAGACTGCAAAAGATATGTCATCAAGGCTACTTTACTCAAGCATCCTCTCTTCAAGGCATTGCTTGATCGCACTGAGGAGGTTTTTGGTTTCACCACGGGCTCAAAACTTTGCATTCCATGCAATGAGAGCATGTTCAAAAGCATACTGCACTGCGTTAACTCTCATCAGGATCGTGGGTTTTGGTCGTGTTTATGAAATGCAAAGGTTTATCTAGTTTAGCAATTTTAGTTGAGAGAAGAAAGAGCAAGAGAAGGACAGCTTTATTTTACATTATGGGGAAGAAATTGCAATCGCAATTGTAATTCTGTTGTTCATTAATATGCAATTTTTGTGAATTCTGTGTAACATGCAAGGCAAGTTCGATATAACGATTGTCCTGCTGCAAACAAATTTAGCTCAGCAAGCTTAATTGCTTCAGAGTAAGAGTCCCCCTTCCTCTGCATTAATGGGTCATTACAACTTGCTGGTAGAAAATTATTGATCATTTGAGTAGAAATTATGGAGCACAATTAAATGCTAAGATATCACATGTACTTGGAAAAAGATTTAATAGAAAAACAATTAAAATCCACAGCCGTTATTAATCTTCCATTACAAAAATCTAACTGCTTAGAAATCTACAATCAAACCAAATAAACTGAAGGCTTACAGCAGAACGAGAGACAAATTTGTATGACTTAAAGCAAAGTATTGTCCGAAACCTGCATTGATGCGGATTCACCCATCAAATCACTCAGCTCAAAATTGGATTGAAATGGAAAACATCCATGATTTAAGCTCTTCTCTAATGACAGCCTATCAGTACTTCCATTTGTGATGTTAAAGAACGTCACACAGCGATCATGTTCTTTCATTAGTGCAATGTCAGCATTGCAGAAGGCCACAGGCCTTGTATAGGGTTCTTTTCTTCTTAAAGCTTCTATGTTTACTGTATGTGTCTTGTTCCATTCCTTTCTGTCATAGTTCTCCATGACCCATAATTCCATGAAACTATCTTCTCTACCAATGGAGGTTATGGCAAGTTTTCCCTTGTATCTGACAAGTGCAATGTCCTTGCTTTTGTTATCCTCAGAAACTGGTAAAGGAAGTGAAAATATGCTATAGCTCTCCTTGTTTACATGAAATGCGAAGATATTGTTTCTTTTCCAGGTGAGCCAATGAAGCGAGCCATTTACAGACACGGTGGTATTGCGACTAAGTAACTCTGTTTGTGGGAACTTTACTTCCTCCAGTTGCTTCCACTTCCAAGTCTTTGAATCAAACAACTCACATCTAACCAAGTGATATCGATAAAACTTTTTATCTTGATAGCGAGGTTTTGGCTCCGAGAATCTTACTATCTTGTAATGCAAAGGGTTTGATCTTATCACAATCATGCTAGTTTCTAAAGTTTGGTATCGCATCTTTGGATTTGGGATTATTTGCCACTGTTTGGTAATAGGCTTGCATACATAATATTGTGGTCGATGATGAGTTCGACAGAGCAAAAGACCTTGGTTTGTTGAAGCCACAATCTCTATGTTAGCAGGTAAGAAATTGAGGGACAATTTCGGATAAGGCTTCAAGGTGTCAGTGGACACAAAGGTAGAATAAAATTTGTTGCGGATCATGCTTTGTATAAAAAAGCCAGAGATGATGTTAGTTCTTTGGTTATGATGATTGGTAAAGATAGATTTATAGATGATTTCGTTACATTCCTTGGAAAGAAGCCTGCATTTCTCGACCGTTTCCATTGATGAACGCGCTAAGATCTCAAAGATGATATCTAAACAAAAATCATGATCGGACTCCATGGTAAAGAAGGAAGGAAGGAAGCGCTTAAGGGGGGGTTCTTGCTGATAGAGAAATAATGGGGTTTTAAATTAGCAGGGGAAAGTTGGGAGCAAGCCGGGTTTAAATAAGAGAAAGCAAAGTAGCTCAGCAACTGGAAGTTTACCAATCAGTTTCCGATTAGGATTAAGAAAGTTCCTAAGAGTAGAACTTGAAAGCCCAGTCAAACATTATCTCCACCCAAACAAAACGTAAAAACGTTGTACTTTCCTTCTTAAAGGACACAGATACCACAATCAGACTGCACCAAAAAAAAACGTAAAAACGTTGTACTTTCCTTCTCCTTAAAGGACACAGATACCACAATCAGACTAAAATTCTTCAGAAGTTCAAGCAGAAAGAAAGGGGGATTTGGGACAGTTCTTTTATTCCTGCTCCTTGCAGCGCGAAAATATTCCCTCGTCAAAAATATTATTATTGAAAAGAAAATTTTATCCTTCGTTCTAGATTCTATATTTCTATTCTTTTCTTTTCTTTTTTCAAGAAATATGGCGCACGTAAAAGATTTTATTGCAATGGGAGTCTAAGGCTACTCGGAAAAAAAAATAATGGATTGGCTTAAAGCATAATTACCCAGAGTCTATTTTAGACTAAGAAAGTCAACTCATAACCCAAGAAACCCAATCAAAACTCAGTAATACCCAGCCCCCAATATTTTTTGTAATTTTTATTCAAAAATATAATGTTTCAATTCTGCAAGATTTTGACCTAATCCAAAAGGTCCGGACGAAAAGTTTACGAGACATTCATGATCCAGTGAAAAAAAAGTGTCAGGAATACCAATATCGTATGGATAGCAGGAAGAATGTGATGCCACGTTATTAACTAGGTTATGTAAATGGCGCAAATGACCGAGCCCCGCTTCAAAGAACAGCAGACTCGTCTGAACCAGACCTGGTTTATTTTGTATTAGGAAAGCGGGAAAAAAATATATGCTTGGTGGATTAAGCCACGGATAGATTCATCAGCTTTGTGGACTCCTATCCCAAAGCATATACAGCATCGATGCAATAAAAATAAAAATTATACCAAAATATATAGTTCAGGAGAAAATAATGTAGGCCGCCACGACGCACAGAAAATCTTACTCGGACCGTATATAGTAAAACTTTCGGATGGGAGAAGGAAGCCTCTAACTGAAATCGGGCTTTTCAGGGCATGTGCAACCTGACCTTTGGATAATGACATTTGCTGCATAGCAACCAGCTCTCACACAGTCTTCAATGGGCTTCTCTTGTACCAGTTGGGACAAAAATCCACCAACAAATGCATCACCTGCCACGAAAGAAAAGCTAGAATTACCATTTGTTGGGAGACTTCTAGACTAATAAGACAATAAAACCAGGTCTTCTTTAATAATTTATTCTTCTTATTGAGCCAAATGAATCCGGCTGGGTTACTGAAGCTAATAGCAGCTTCAAACACTAAATTTCACTAGCAAAGTGACAAAAAAATAGATTACATATCTTATCACCAAAATGGAAGATGACCTAGCTTTCTAGATAGTTTGCTGTTTAAATGGAGGGAGCTGGGTAAATAAAACAATACTATCAATACACCACTCAATAAAATGTTGAGCTCGGTTGCAAAAAAGAAAGAATGGCAGACATTAACTCTTAAACATTTTGAAATTCAAATCAAAGGATGCATCCTAAAGATCTCTCGGCAGTTCCAAACATTGGACATAGTAATAAAGATACGGGAAGAGAGCATACCTGCTCCATTGGTGTCAACCAGCTTCTCCTTGGGTAACAATATCACAGGGAATAATTTCACCTTTCCATCCTCAGCAACCACAACAGGATCTGCACCCTGAGTAATAACAGTAATCCTCTTGTGTGCCCCTGACGCCTTGGGCCATTGGGAAATCTTTAGAGCAATCTCCTCGACATTCTCAGTCTGGTAAAACAGAAAAATCCAATTAGGTAAATTGCATGGAGTAACTGAATGTGGTTCTCTGATCACCTATAGCACACCAAGAAATATTTACCTCCCATCCATGAACCTTGGAAAAGGTTCTGGCTTCAGTCTCATTTCCAAAGACATAGTCCGTATAACTGTAGTCAACAGGTGAATCAGTTTTGAACCATTGACAAACATCATGAACAATGGAGGGGATAGAAAACTTACGGTAGAGCATTCTCCTGCACATCCTTGAAGAACTCACAGATAAATGGAGCAGAAAGATTCATCGTGAAGATCTGCAAATGCATGTCTCAGACTACCGAATCTCAAAAAAGGCAATAATTACAAGAGATAAGATCTAATAGAACAAGATTTACCTTGTTGTTTGCAGCTGCATGTTCAGCAACAAGCATAATGGATTCAGGAGACACGGTAAGGAAGAACCCGGCAATGTAGAAATATTTTGCCTTTTCAACTGTCAAAAAAAAAGGGAATAAGTTGCGAACGTGAGACCAACATGACATATAACCAAAAACTAAACAAACTACCGAAAGCAGATGCAGAGAAAAAGAAATGGAAGTGGTACCAAGTGCCCAATTTTCTGGCCTCTTTAAGTGCTCAGATTTGTAACAATTTGCAGCAGCCAAATTTGCGATAAGCGACCTGAACAAACAGTTAACTTTTAACCCAGAAAACTACAATTGTCAAAACACAAGATTTGGAAGAGGGGCCATTAGCACTCTGCCAGTATAAATGACAGTACACCTCAGAGTGCCATCAATACTTTATGGAGACTTAAAGCCCCACCCTCGGCACAGATGCTACCAAATCCAACAGGCACACCCCACAGATGCTCAGCATGTAGAATGGAAACTGAACAAAATGTTGATCTAGGACACAGTGCTAGAAAATATGGTACCCGTGATGACTGGAAAGTCAATATGCAGAAAATTACAGTTAATGCCCAACTAACAGCCCAGGATCTCTAGAAAAAAATTGGAGTAACAAGTTATTTCTATTGCAAATGAATGTTTAATGAAAAAAATCCTATGCTGTGATGTTGGAAAGAATCAATACACCTACGCATAAGAGACAAATGGGTGTAAGAGCAAGACACAGAATCCTGGAGCGTGCACCTCTCATGACTCAATCTAAGATACAAAATGAACCACAGGCCCAGTTGTCCTGCAGGTGACCTCAATACTGAATGAAGCGACACTGAAGAAACCCAAGTCATCTAGTTATTCATCTTATAACAGTTGGAGATTAAAGTTCTCTATAACCAAATAATACATGGTATAGCCAAGGGACAACCCTCTAAACCAGCCTTGAAGACAGGAACCTCACATCAAATGGGTATGGCTGAAACATAAAATCTTCTATAAGGTGCAGCCAGCAACCCTCTAGACATGAAAATCCAATCATTCAAAAAGGCAAGTCAATCAATTACAGTTTGCATCTTCTAATAATATGATGCAATATACCCATAAAAGATGATGCTTGTTATAAACAGCACAGTTCTGAATTTTTTGAAACAAGAGCAATTTCATGTCAGTTTGCAGCAATGTATACAAATTATAAATAAAAGGCAATCAGGTAAAACTGACCTCTCACCACCAACGACACAAACAGCCCATGTTCCAGTTGGAGCAGCCTCATCCTCATAATAATGTACCTGTATTCACACTCTAATTAAATCTCCTAGACCATGCAAACAAGCTATATTCACAATCTAATTGAATCTCCTAGACTATACGAACAACCTAAACACTGAAAACAAAAGATGCAGAGTAACTAACATTAACACCAGCTTTCATTGAGTTTTTCTTCATCTCCTCCCCAAACTTGTCCTTTCCAATGCAGCCCATATAGCTGGTTGCACCAGGAATTTGGAGCATCCACTATAAGAGACACAAAAGTCAAGCAGACTCAGAACAAATCAGTCAGCGACAATATAAGCATAGCTACAAAAACACATGCAGTCATATATATTAAAACAAACCTGTGCAACTTTGATTGAATTTTGAGTAGCACCTAAAGGTAACATACAAAACATCAATAAAAACATGTCATTTCAAAAACTCAGTCTCAGACTAAAAAAGTTTAAATAGACATCTTTATACTTCCTTCATCGGGAAATTCTGTTGTTACCTCCTGCAATGAATTCTACGGTATACTTGCTGGCCATCTCATCGTACCTTCAAATATCCGTCAAAACAAAAATCAATGAGCGTCAACAGAATTTTTCGAACTCCTGAAAAAAGTTAAACATTTAGCAAGATAAGAAACAAACAGGTATGTCAAGAAAACTTACATGGGTATGTGCTTGTCTTCCGCAAGGATAGCATTGTTCAGCTTGATGTCATACCTACCAAAATAATCATATTACAAAAATCAACAATATTACACTTCGTAAACTAAATCACCACATAGATAAATTTGAATCGAGTAAAATCCGATCTGTAGAAAACAGCTGAAGTCACTAAATGAAGCTTAATTCTCACATCTGACACATCAAGCATAAAATTATTTTTCGCAGTAACCAAACATTCACAGTAAAATTTTCAAAAATAGAAATCATGAAATGAAATGAAAGAAAAAAATCAGATCTGTCATTGCAAACCAAAACACACAAAGAGAGCAGCTCAGATCTACCTCTAATTTAAAATCAGTTAACAAAAACATGATCAACAGTTAACAGATACAGATCAAACCGTATCGAATG